GAAAAACAGGCTTTAATATGACTATATTTATATATAAAGGCAATAATAATTGGCCTCAAATAAAGTATCAAAACCATGGTTTTATTGAACAACATTGTTGAATACGTAATGTAATATGCTTATATTATAACAAATACCTGCAGAGGGCGCCAACGGCCTGGTGATGTTTTATGTGACTCAACGACGTTTAAATCCATTTAATTTTAATATTTGGCCACATGCAAAGTCGTAAACTTTTATTTTGAAATCGCACTGTACAATAAATCGCATATTTAGAAATATGTTTATGTATTCTCCTGTGTTGGCATAGGTTTAAATGTTTTACGTTACAAATCAAGTCAGGCCCGATTCTTGACTGCTATAGAAGGGTGGGCTGGCAGATATCCTGGGTGGGCATTTTTTAGCCGTCATATCATCACATAGTCTAGAAAATATTTATACTGTACATATTGCTATATTAACTATATTATATGTACACTGAAAAAAAGCTTTCATGGGCAGCCTAGAATATCATGCACTTTCACAGCAAAATAAACATTTTTCCTTTATTGAATAGCAAAAAAAGCCCTCTTTGTTCTCTTTCTCTGGATCATTGTTTCTACACTGGTGACTCTTTTCAACTAACTTTCTTATTTAAACCAAACAAGACCAGACCACTATGGTAATAGTATTTATTTAAAGAAACTAAATAAATAAAGGATTGAAATGGATTTAGGGGAATACATTTAAAAAAAGGGAAAAAAAACAGTAAAAGAACAATAAGAATTTTTGTAAAATAATCAATCTGAACTGCAAATAATAGGCTATTTTTATTTTAAAATATGCACCCATTCAATTTCAGTTGCATTGCTGAAAACGCAAAAAATGTTCATCATAGTCAATTATAAATTACATGAATTATGTAAATGGCAGACCTACTTTCCATTCAAAACCGTGGAATTTGACGCTGAAAACGCAAAAAATTGTCATCATAATCAATTATAAATTACATGAATTATGTAAATGGAAGACCTACTTTCCATTCAAAACCGTGGAATTTGACAAAAAAAGTCGAATAGTTTGCATCACTGGATATTGTTGGTCGTTTATGTCGGGGAACGCTACGTTTCTTATACAGTCGAGCCGACTGCTGCAACGAACGCAACTTTCACCATACAAGCTCTTTACTTTCAGTTTTCATTGTTACATTCAGCATTAACAGCAATCCAAAAGGGGTAAGCTTTCAACTGAACTGCTTAGCCTATGCTCTTGCCCCGTACATGCACGTTATTATATGAGCGGGTTTTTTAAAACATTAAAACCGCTCAGGTAATTTCAGTGGTAGGCTATGATACATATCCATGTAACCTATTAAACTCCCCGTAATAGCGCGCAAATATTTCTGCCCGTTTTCGCTCGTTGTAAGCCTCTGCTTTTCTGCAACAGACTGAAGCTCCGCATGAATTCAGCGCGCCTTGCATTCAGCTAATAAAAGAAAATGCTGCAATTTTCTGGTGTTATTTTATTATTGTTGGTGCAGAGTACAGCTATATCTTAAACTTCTTAAAATACAGTCCACTTCAGATTGATTTTACTCACTGCATATAATAAAAAGACGTGTCATTTGGGTGGGTTTAGCCCACCCCTGCCCATGCCTGGAGTCGGTGTTGTGCCGAATTCTGCACCCCTGCCAGATTATGCACCCCCTCGTTGAAGTCGCTACTTGATTGCCTAATCCCAACCCCACCCCTAATCCTAACCCCTCCCCCACACCTACTCCTAAACCTACCAATACTAGGCGGTGCATAATCTGGCAGGGTGCAAATTAAAATACAGTCCACTTCAGATTGATTTTAATCACTGCATAAAATAAAAAGACGTGACATTTGGGTGGGTTTAGCCCACCCCTGCCCATGCCTGGAGTCGGTGTTGTGCCGAATTCTGCACCCCTGCCAGATTATGCACCCCCTCGTTGAAGTCGCTACTTGATTGCCTAATCCCAACCCCACCCCTAATCCTAACCCCTCCCCCACACCTACTCCTAAACCTACCAATACTAGGGGGTGCATAATCTGGCAGGGTGCAAATTTCGACACTAAACCGTAGTGCTGAAATTTGCACCCTGCCAGATTATGCACCGCCTAGTATTGGTAGGTTTAGGAGTAGGTGTGGGGATTAGGCAATCAGGTAGCGATTTCAAGGAGGGGGAGCATAATCTGGCAGGGGTGCAGAATTCGGCACAACACCTGCCCCGAATCAAAGTGAGTTTTCCCAGATGAATGTAACCCAAACTCACCGCATATGCAGAGGAAGAGTTTAGCCCCTTTCACACACACAGTCTTTACTGGTAAATTACCATTAAGAGATCATGTGCGAACAGGACCTTTTCAAAAATACAGGTAAATTCGTTCTGGCAATCATATCGTTCTTATGGAGATGGCATGATTACTCTGAGCTGTTTACAACGCTCCGCTGCTTTTTTGATAGCTTTTCTATGTAAATATGACACTAGATGGAAATCTTTTGACCATTGCGCCTCGCAGCTTTTTCAATGCGTCACGCTCGAGACCCAGGCTTCTTTTCCATTCATCAGCTGCGACTCTGCAATTGGATACTATTATGCACATCTCGTGTTTATATAAGAGCAAAAACTTCGGATTGGCTAGAAATGTTAATTTGGTTGAGAGTGAAAGCTGTGTTCCTCTCATACATTGGTAGGCGAACGCATGAACTCGAACGTGATATCAACAAGTGTTTTTAAATGTAGGACGACTATCTTTTTTTTTTTTTTTGCAGCCAAACACCGCGTGCCGGAGAACTTTAAGCCTTGCAAATTATACATATATAATTATAAAAAATTATTAAAACAATTGGTGAAACATAGCATGCTTTAATTTGCAAGTCAGCTGGTCAAAATAACAATGCAGCAGTATTTGCTGATGTCACTATCAGAAAATATATCCACAAACAATTTAGGGTATTAAATTAAAGTAGTGTTACTAAAGATTATTAATTTTATGTGAAGTTTAATATTATAATTGATCCATTTCTGTTTTTAACAGGGGACCAAAGGTTTCTTTCCCCCTCTTCAGAACCAAAGGGAAATGAGCTTCTGAAAAGGTGAGGTCAATAAACCCTTATTGACAGTGTGAAAAGTAAGTCAATTGAGTAACGTACTATTGAATTTTTCTTCCATGTGAAGTTCCGAAGACTCAAAAGTCCAACAAGCCCCACTGAGCAGAGAGCAGCTGACCAGCAGTCTCGTGTCTGATAAAGTTCTAAGGAGCAGTGATGAAGTGGATGTGGATACTGTAGATATTGATGGCTAATGTTGTAATCATGGATCTGTTTTTTGTTTTGTATTTACTGGTAAAGGACACCATTCGCACTACATAATGCCCTGTATAAATAAATGGTGCCATTTAAAATGATAATCATGATCAGATTCAGATCTAATAAGGCGGTGCTGAAATATCTGTAAAGAATGTAAATTCATGGTGCATTGCTATCGATGAAATTTTTGCACGGCCTATGTGGGCTTAAAAAGACAGAATGATGCACTTTCAAATCTTGATGTATAAAACACTCATTTACTGCTAATTGTAGCGCAAAAAAAAAAATATTGCAATTTGACCAATCTTTTTTTAATACTTGTTGCCCTGTATACTTTTAGACCACACATATATACATTTTGTTGTGCATTGCTGAATCATAATGTGGTTTATTCAGGTATTCAAATAAGCTACACCCGTGTTGTAAATTGTGGAGAAGCAACTGTATTTTTTTTTATTTGATGCGTTGTCACAGCTATTATGTTTATGCCTTCTACTTAAATTAAAACAGGTTGCTCCATAATTATTTCAAATTAATTTGACTTGCAGAAATTTATAAATGAACTTTAATTAAAGAGCAATAACATCCTGCAGCGAATGTGTGACTTTTGTCTTAATACTTTATTTAACTCTTTAAAACAAGAAAAAGTTCATTTTTACAATAATAAAAGTACATTGTTAGGAAGCACTTCTACAGAAATAATACAAACGTAATTTGTTGAAAACATTTAGCTGGACTAAAGCCTAAAGGTTTAGAACAAACGAGGCAAACAAATATTTACAAATACATTATAATTTAGAAACACTTCTCACACAGACAGTAAAATGTCAGAGTCTAATTGCTGCATTATTTCATATTAATGTGACCCTCAAACACATAAGGCAAGTCGACAGAGCTCCATGAGAAATAAGCCATCCATGAAATCAAGCTGAAATCACTTTGGTGAATCTCTGGAATGTCTTATTGGCCAATTCGGTGCATAAAAATATTGAAATATTTATAAACTTAGTGCACATTCAATATTTCAAGTGTACTGATGTATTGATGTCAGACTGACAAGATAGACTGGGCCAGCACGATCTGTCTTGCTAAACAGATCCTCGTCAGACTGCTGGTTTACTGTCTGGTATCGTTTGGTTCCAGTGTAGTTGCTTAAAACCTACAGTGCAGCTACATTTGTTTCAGAAAGCTGGTTGTGTATTGATGTCAGACTGACAGATAGACTGGGCCAGCACGATCTGTCTTGCTAAACAGATCCTCGTCAGACTGCTGGTTTACTGTCTGGTATCCAGCGGCTGGGGGAGCGTATCTGTACACTCAAGCCTTGGTTAGCTGAACCAGGCGACATCAGTACCGGAGAGCAGGATTGGTCCACTTCCTGTTCTACACACTAGCAGATGGTAGCCTTACTTGTGTTGTGTGGTGGTGGCTGTTATTCAAAATCATCCTCGTATTCATATTCATCCAGGTCCAGGTTACAGTGAGGGTTGGGGATCTCAAAGAGATGTCTCTTCTCATTCCGCAGGTCAAAAGCATATGTAATGTCATCAATTGGGTCTAGAACATTATCACAGCTGAAAAGAAAGCAAAAAATTGTACATTGAATTAAAATGACAAAATGCATTTCACCCAGCCCTTTTAGTTTGAATGTTTTGCAACAGACTTACTCAATTATATCATTCACAATACTTGGGAAGAGCAGTTCATACCTTTATAATGGAATTTATAACATACACAATCCTGTACTTCGATTGGACGCTTAAAACGTAATGAAAATTGGACAGAGGATATTCATATGGAGAAGCTACACATGCGGGAAAAAACTTCTAGAACCAACTAGAGGGCAAAAGAGTTAAGGAACTGACATGTAAACGCATGCCATTGAAAAGACACCTGACAAAACTGGAGTATGCTGAAACTGTAAAACATACTTTAATCTGTAATGTGATGATCTAAACAGTAACCAGGTGAGGCCAT